CTATTGTTTTCCTATTTATTTCCTATACGTAAAAACCCAAGAATCCTATTAATTTCCTATTGAACCCCTAACAGTAATTATTTGCAAGAATCGCAGTCTGCCCAGACTTAGGCCATCTCAAAGCTAGGAGTCAGGCAGCAATCTCATCAATGTCTAGCAATTTTCGACCCTACCGAGTATAGTCTAGTAAACCCCAAAAATTTCGAAACCGGATTAAGGACAAATAGTGCTGGGATTCCCTATCGATTACTCTTAAGGATCGATGCTATTAGGTTTCCAACTTTTGGCTTCTACTATGAGACATGACAAAGGCAAGTGTGCATTCATCCCAGATGCTTTCTCGCGCATCACAAACCTGATCGTCGAAAACCGAAGGCCCTTCCAGAAGCCTTTTGCTTTGACGGTGCTGGGATTTGAGGCTGGAATCCAAAGGGATTCCGCGGCGGAGGCCTGTGGTCTCCACACTTGGTTCCACTCTTTTATCCGGGAGGTCGGAGGCTTGCCTGTCTTGAAGATAGGCGACAAGATGTGGCTGTTGTGTCAGAGCTTGTTTTCCTTTGTTCGGGTAGAATGTAGGTACTTACGTAAGCTTGTAAACAAGTAAAAATCTGTGTGCAGTTCATCCCACCTGTCCGGAATGGTCTAGTATATTGTACACGATCAAAAGCCTACGCCTTAACTACAGCTAGCTGGGAGCTGTTTGGTGTTTGTGGTCCGGGGTATGATGCATCCTAGTGGACTACTCTTGGCTATATTGGGACTGTGACCTGCTGTGTGGAAGCCTATCAGTACAAAAGTAAGTTGACAGCCCGAAACCCACAAAATCCTGAATCATGTAAACTAAACCCTAAACCCTCTACCTGCATTGTCCGAGTGTGAGCGCCGAAACCCGCTACGTGATGCAGCCCCTAAACCCCCAAACCCGAAACCCTAGACTCCCTAAAACCCTTTTTTCGGTCTCAGCCCTCGCAGGCTGCAGCATCTGGCAGCTGCCTGTGACATCAGCGAAGAGTTGGAACTCCTGGAGGCTGAGCTCTTTTCTGTCTTGTTTGGGTTTAGGGTCTGTGCAACAGGGTGTTTGGGTTTATGTTGGGCTTTCGGGTGTTTGGGTTTGAGGGTTTTTTGTTGGGGGTTTCGGGGCAGGGTTCTTCCAGGGGATTCGGATCCCGGATTGTATGGCTTGAGGCTCCCGGGTTCGGGGGGCTTGTTTCCTGGTTTTCCGTCATGCTGTTTTGGATCATGGGTCTGAGTTTGCAAAGCATGTTACGTGACTGAGCCATGCCATTCATGTGGCTGAAGGGCTGACTATTGTGGCCTAAACAGATACCAAAACTTTTTTTGTTTTTTGTTTAAGGGTGTTCTTGTTAGAGTTATGGTATAATATGCCCCTCCACCCTATGCTATTCATTAAGGCCCTTAAATTGGTCACATGGTCGGGGGGCAACGTGGGGCAGTTCTGGAGCTGGCCCTGTCACTAGAAATTCGGATTTGCTTTGCAGTACCCATAGGCCCTAAAGTAGTTCCTTTTTGGGGATACCTTATAGAATCCTTAATATTAAATTGGTTAAACCAGAAAAGGAACTACCATGGAGACTATAGGTAGGCCTCAGGGAGTTGACACAATTTTTTGATTGATTGCTGAATTGCTGTCCATAACGTGGGTAGTTCTCAAAATTAGGGTCCCTTTCAGGGTCCTTATTGGGGACTTAAAAGGGACCCTAATTCAGAAAACTATCCATGTAGTGCCTTCGGGTTAGGGTTCCCTACACACCAAAACGTTTCAAAAGATGCCGCGCCGGGGGCACAGGGCACATCACAACCTGTGCTACCCCTCGGCTGCTCAGAGTGTAGGACTCCTTTCTTCCTTTTCCAGCATTCGGGCTTCAGGGGTGCAGCTGGCAGTTATGGCCTTTGCGCCTTCGAGCTAAAGGCTTTTGCACATGTGCCGCAGACTTCGTGTATGTGCGACAGCATGCCAGGACGAGCCACTAGAGGCTTTGCGCCTGGAGTGCGCAGTCCGGGAGCTGCCCTTCGTAGTGCTTCGAGACAGGTGGGTTGGGTGGCCAATGCATGGCATGGGTCATGTGGTGCTAGACTCGACGTTTGGCTTGGCAGACTATTTGACATGTTGCTGCTGAGAGGCGCGAGCTCGCCATCTGCCTCCTGGCCATCGCACTGTGGGATGCACTGCCGCATTCGGACAGCTTGCCAGATTGCTTGTCGAAAGAGCCTGTGAGAGAGCGGTTCAAAAGTTGAAAGCTTTCCGGGGCTTCACTCACGCACGAGCGGGTTTGCACATATCACCGTACCCTGAATCAAGACGACGCTCGATCATGAAACTGCAGCGTGATTTTGAGCTTTGGGTGCCGTTGGGAATTTATGGAGAAGACACTTGGCAAGGATGTGTCAACAACAACAACGACCTGCCCGTAGTTTGAAGCGGCCTCAAACTCTAATCGCAACAACATCTAGTGTCAAGCATCGCACACGGGTGTTTGGGAGGCTCTTCTGATGCTTGAACTTCCCCTGCAAATACTCTGCCGGGAGGAGCTCGTTCGCGAGGCGAGACACTGGGGCGTACCGACATCCGCAGGCGACGCAGAAGGCTCGATGTGCCCGCTTGGGCAACCTGGTCTTGGTGTTAGTTCGCTACACCAGCCCCTCCTCCGGAAACATGACCTAGTCACGGACATTTTGACTCACTCTGTTCACCACCTTAAAACCCAAAACTTTTAGCCAAGCGCGCTCTAGGCGCTAAAGACTGGCCTACGGGGACGCCTGTATGACAGCTCACTTTCATTGACGGAGATGGAAGGTCTCATCGCTCATCTCGTGGATGCGTTGTGGACCTCTTTGGCTGAGGCGACTCACCAGCCTATGTATGTCCGCGGGTGGTTGGGGGGTTTCGTTTTTGAGTCTACGAACGGCCTTCGGGGCTTTTTCTAATGACCTGGCTTCTCACTAGTATGAAATATTGGGCATACGTTGCATCATTAAACCTAACACCTCCACCCAAACAGGAAAGGGCAAAGTGTAGCAATTGTGTTCACCACGTCGAGCTTGGCGATTCTCTACTAGTCCGACAAGACAGTCAACCCAACTTCATCTTCATAACTTAATATAGAAGCCAGAATAGTTTCAAATATTATTCTTTAGGGTTTCTTATCTTCGGTATACACTAGTGTAACCCAAAGCCCCATTCTAATTATTAAGGCGCCTATTTGTTCTTAATTTGGTTTAAGGTTTAAGGGCTTTCGAGAACCGGGTTTAGGTTATTGTGGTTTCACGGGCCAGAGTGGATCTAGGGTGATGGGAATATTTTAGCCGAGCCACCTCCACGTCGCAAAAAGCTTCAACCAAGACGGAGCACCAAGAAACCAGGAGCCGTGATTTGTGCAGCCAAAGCTACAAACATAAAATACCCTAACCCCACAGGTACCTAGTATATAGGGCCCTAGGGGCTTTAGTACCTATTCTAGTAGGTACCTGGGGGTTAGGGATAGGCAAGGCTGGCGGCCATGAAGCTGTTGGTGTGCTTTAAAGTCCCAGTCATTCCTAGGTCCGGCGCCCTTGGCCGTCTGAAGCCGCAAGAAAAGCTTTGGCACTTTTTGCCTAGATAGCTTCTCGCGAGGTCATGGCTCAGTCCGAACCAGTTATATGGAATAGGTCTGTCAGGTCGACAGATGTCGCAGTGCCCTGAGACCCTAATCCCAAAGGCGATCTTGGGAGTTTCCGAAAATTAGGGTATCCTATTTGGGGGTCCTTATAATAAGGATCCTACTATTTAGGGTGCTATATTAGGGTCCCCTATTTTCTGAAACCCCCTCTTTCTGGTACTTCCAAGGCTCGTGGAGTTCCCGTGCGGCGGCTGCCAGTGGCTGTCGGCATCGCTTTGGTGGGGAAGGTGCCGATGATGGGTTTAGGGTTTAGGGTTTAGGGTTTAGGGTTTAGGGCCGAACCATCATAGTCAGACTTGGGGTTTGGGGTTTAGGGTTTGAGGTACAGCACATTAGACTTGGGTTGAGGGTTTGGGGTTTAGGGCTTATAGTAGGTACTATGAGGGATACTTTCGAAAAGCGGGACTGGGCTTTAAATGGGTGGTGTTGTTTGGACGTCGCTTTTGCGCGGGTCGCGGTTGCAGGTTCGATTTGTTGAAGGAGGCATTGAGGGGTACGGCAGAGATTTCGCAAACCCTGTTGCAAGAAGGGACAAGAAAGTTCACTTGGCTCCGTTAAATCTCGAACTGCACATTAAACAGTGGAGCCTTCCTAGAGCTCTGCTCCTGAAGCCAAACACCTCCGAAACCACCAACTCGAAATCCCTCCAAGCTTCTCTGAAAGCGTTTGAGCCGCTTTCCGATCTGCCCTTATAAACCCACGGTTTAGGGTTTTTTAGGGGCTAGGGTTCCTAACCGTTACTAATACCCCTAAGCCCTAAGCCTCCCGTCTTTGAGAGCGACTACTAGTGCTCGAATGGATCAGGCTGCTCGCTTGGAAGGATGTTCGGCCAAGCGCGTCGGAGCCTTAGGGAACAGAACTGGAGCAAATTTTAACTCTAAGCCCGATAATTTATCATGCCCGGCTTGTTGGAAGAACCACGGCTTTTTATGTAGAGCTGGAGGGCTTTGCATGCTAAACCTAAAATGTCAAGTCTTCTCGTTTTGTGTTGGGATTTGCGGCCGAAGTGGCACAATGCTTCGAAGCTCCGGGGCTGAGGATTTGGAGTTTGACTCGGAGTCTATACGGCTTTGCTCTGGCACGTGTGATTCAGGATTCCGAGTGCTATGAAAACAGTAGCGTTGGACACCTTGCTTTAAACCTGGCTTGCCAACAAAATAGATTCTGCAGGGCATCTGCACTGCAGCCCCCTGATCAAACATCGTTCGGGCCTCAAACTTTGAGCCCTTGAAGCCGTGAAATGTCCCAAACTTCCGTATGAGAAGCGCATTATACCACCAAAGAGGGAGAGGTGTGCTTCGCATTGCTGCCGAAAGGGTGCACGCGTTTCGGACAAAGGAACCTCGGACAGTCCCAGACTTCCCAGAATAGAACCAGAAACCTGCTTTTCTTGCACTGATGGACGACGAAGGCCCGATGATGGTGAAGCTTCATGGGAAGGATATTGGCAGTTCGTGATTCACGATGACTGTGGTGTTGCTGCTTTTGCTGACGGATAGTATTGTAATTGGAGGCCATAGGCAGAGGCCCGAGAACTCTCGAGGCATGGAGCGCCCGGACAAAGTCTGCACAGTGGGCTCTTCAACTTCTAATACAGGCGCCTTAAATAATTACAAGGGGCTTCCTTGTCATAAGTAGAGTATAGTATAGTATAGTATAGTAGAGTATAGTAGAGTATAGTATAGTATAGTATAGTATAATCCAAAGCCCTATTCTAATTGGTAAGTCCCCTATATTAACTATGAGTTTGCTTGAATGCCAACCCTGGAGCCCGGAGCCTGCATCGCACCCATCCTCTGATGCTGGTGCCTGGAGGTCGAAGCAGAGTTCGGCCGCATGGCGAGGTCTGGCTCTGCTGGCAAGTGTGTCGACCATAAGATCCGAACTTATAGTTCGATTCAGGGCTTTGGTCGACTGGACGAGCCAACATGACTCCATTCGTCTGCATGCCCCACACCGTAAAGTTCGTCTTGCATCAACGTGCCGCAGTATCATCATGCAGTTAGTCACATCATTCCGGTGTAATACCTTGATGGTTGCAGCTGCAAGCAAAACCCAACTTTCCCTGGAACCTCTTCAGCCCAACAGTGTACTAGGTCTCAGGAGAAGCCTGCAGCCCGACAAATCAGAGCCCACAAAACCCCGAAGCCTCAAAATCTAAACCCTGCATAGGTCAAAATCCAAACCCAAGTCTTTCGATGCTCCATTACCCTGACCCTCCAGGTACCTACTATATAGGGCCCTAGGGGCTTTAGTGCCCTATATGGTAGGTACCCGGGGGGTTAATGTTAAATAAAATATTCAGAGCTGCAAGGCGCCGTGGCTTGCCTGCCGAGCCTGGGGCAGGGAAGCAGTCGGACACCCAAGGATTGCTGTCATAGACTGACCTACAATACACCGCACACTTCGTGGGAGTTCCTTTATAGCGTTGAAGTGGGTGTGTACCTTCCAGTGGATTGCGTCCGGAATTGTAAAGTTTTAAAGGCTCTCGGGCTCGAGGCAAGCCCGATCTGGCAGATGCTTGCAACTCTTCAACTGGAGGGCTTTGCCAGCCCTCGTTTCTAAGGTTTTACATCGAGCTGATCATGCTCATGCTGGTGTTGGAGGCCGGATTCGGCTGGGAGCCACGGTTTCGGGCTTACAAGCTCGGGGTTGGGGGTTTAGGGGCGCGAATGCAAGCAAGAGCGGTGAGAGTTGGCAAGAAGACGAGCATGGCTTGCGAGGCAAGTGCCTTCCCGTAAGGTTCCACGTGCCCAAATTGCATATACTTTGGCCTTAAAGTAGTCTCTATAGCCGTACTTTGGAGCCAAAGTATATACTATTTGGGCACGTGGACCTTATAGGTTCTCAAGCCTGGAGTCTTGGAGTCTGAGAAGGCGACGCCTTCGACCCAGACATCCGCCACAAAGCATTGACACCTTGCGCTGCATTGTCCCACGGCATCTGAAAGAAATCCTGGCGATCTGCGCCTTTGACGAATCCTCAACTAGTGAGTACATACATGTTGTGTCTAAAACCCCCTTTGGCCCAATGTTTGAACACTGAGACCTTTTCTCCGTCTTGCTGGGAAGGAGCGTGGTCAAGCTGCTTCCAGGTCTTCTTATATACTTGTAGCGATAGAAGTACTTACGTAAGCATGTCAGAAGCATTGCTTTGATTTTTCTGCATTCAGGGCTGCGAGGGAGATGTCTCGCGTCCTGCGGAACGCACCCCAGTCCCAAGTGTGGAGAGCAAGCCCTCAAACTCCGCTTCGCTGCGCGAGAGGGGAGAGGGGGCAGGCAGGTGGCCAAATAACTTCTCAAGGACAGAAGCAAGTTCAAAGACCCTTAATTAGCCTCAACAGTGTTAGCCCTCTGTGCTTCCGCAGGAAGCCAGTATCGAGCAACTGAAACAGGAGTGCCGAAGCCTTGGGTGTCTTAGCAGTTGAGTGGGTATACCTTTAGCCGTTGGAGGTTCCAGTCATCCTTCCATAAGTAAGCTAGGTTTGCCTTCTTCGGGCTAGGAAACTCACCAACTGATGTTGGGCGCGGTCATGGGCAATGGGCAGTTTAATTAGGGGTTGGGACCGGGATTTGTTACTATGCAGTTGCTTTGGTATGGTTCATGGCATGCCCTGCTTCACTTGTGCACCTGCCAGGGGAGTGAAAGGTCTATCTGCTTTGCCTAGGGTTTCTGCGCGATTCTGGGTAGTACAACCACATCAGCATTGTCGCGTTTCTGGTTTGGGAGCCTGCCAGTCATGAACACCACTAAGGTCGCGAAGCCGGCTTGGCAGGATCTGCCAATGCACCTTGTGCTGCAACGCCCATGCTGTACTGGGTTGTAGGACCCGGGCTAGTGGGGAATCAGCAGTTTCGGACTGGTTGTTGTCTTTTCCGCTTGGTCCTATTGCAATACCACAGAGCTCTGTGCTTTGATGTATGATTCACGCGATTGCTGTGATGCAACGAACACACATTGAACAATTCTTCATTGTTTGGGGGAGTTGTGTGTTGTTTCGGTGTTGGTATGTGTGTAAGTTTGCCAGATGTTGTCAGTGATTTTGTTGTTGTTGTTGGTGGTGGTGGTGGTGGTGGCTGCGGTAGTGGTGGTCATTGGGGTTGCAGCGTTTGCCTTCATTGCCGCTGCTGTTGCGGCTAGTCAGGCTGTTGGAACTGTTCCAAGTCCCGAAGAGGAATATGGTTCAGCCCGTAACGTGAGATGTACTCATGTACTCCGCGCGGTGTTGATTGTGAGCTGTAGTCGTCTGCTGCTTGACTATTGAACGTATAAGTCCCCTGATTCACCAATCCTTCCAGGCATGCTGTGAAAATGACACTTTGGCATAAACACCAGTCATGTTCCTGCTATGTTGGCACATGTTAACGCCACAAGCAGATTGGACAACCTGATTGCATGTCATCATATAAACATCTAATATCATCATTAACCTCATGGCATGGGGGTTTCCTCTTCATTCGTTCATGGCCTCTTCGGCATTTGACTTTATTTCTCCTCCCCTTCGCCGCTCACGAATTCTGTGAGATTCCAATATGCCAGTAATCCCGCTTGAATCCACACGACTCTACCGAACGTCTACTTAAAGTTTCTGTTGATGTGGCGTGACCGATCTTGATGAACAGTCATCAAGATATCCGAGTTCTGGCAGTGGCTCCTTGCCCTGTGTTTGGGGTGCGGCCTCCTATTGCACAACAGCGGTTAGGGTTTGGGGTTTGGGGTTAAATCTAGGGCATTTAGCAAGGTCACCGGTGAAGCAGCTCAGCGTGGTCGCCTCGGGTCCTGAAGCCTGAGTGGGGCTAACCTGTACGTACAGCCCAAGCCTCATGCCTCCAGACACATTCTAACACCACGACACTCCTCCTTAACCCAGTCGAGGATTTGACCCCAAGACATGAAACCTGAACGCCACAAGCAAGAAAGACAAAGATGCGCATCAGCTCGACACACTCTGTACCCTGAAACCGCATTCTATGCAGAAAAATGACTTATTACGTACTTCAGTGTGTGTCTTGCTGTCGTGTTTGGTATGCCCTCCTGGATCCGGCAATGTTACGGAAGGGTCTGGTTCCTTGTTGATGTCGTACGTTCGTTCGGGAGGGTTGCAGAGGGTTGAGGACGAAGGAGCCAATGCATAGTGGATTTTGTTGTTCCCGGGCGCCAGGGAAATGTACAAACCCTCGCCGTCTGATATTGAAACAGCACACAAACAATGCAGAATCCTATTGCATCGTCGGTCCACGGGTCCTATTACGGCAAGCTCAGTCTTTGGATCGTAATTGCTCGGAAGGTGACTCGTGCGTATACACTATTTTTGGTACACATATGTTTTACGTTGTATGTACAAAGTAACCATACATGTATGTATACATCTAGAGAGAGTATTATATACACGGTTGTGTGTGTGTGTGTTCATCACGCTGGTGTACAGTATTCTAGCTGCGAAATCTACGCCATACCTTCCCCAGGCCCCGAGAGACAAGTAAGTTTTAGACCGAACTCTCGCAGGAAACTGAACCGAAGCCCTGGAAAAAGACCCGACCTTCTGTCAAGGCGAGCTGCTGCAGCGGCGGCTCCTTGGAGCCGCGCTGAGTGATCGATGGGAGGTGCCGACGGCAGTTCAGATTTTTTGATTTGGGTATCGTTCTTAGGGTTGATGACCTTCGGGCATGAGGCTTCAGGATTTGTTGGCTTCAGGATGTGCTGTTCAGGAACTAATTAGGATGTAGGGTTTAGGATTACGGCTTTGAAGGGTTTTGTAGTTCAGGATTCTTTAGGAGGTTCAGGTGCACGATATTGATGGACAGCACCAGCAAGTCAACAACAAGATCAGATAGGATCACCACTAGCAGCATCGGAATTGGCAGTCTGACAGTGGCTACGGTCATATCAGCAGTATTATAGTCGTTCGATTCGGAATGCAGAGCAACCTTACGCCAGAAATAGGGCTACTATTGAACTCAGTCACATCATTAGACGGGAGCAACGTGTATGCCTGCAGTGTGCCCGCCGATGGGGTGGTGTTGCATCGATGCCTGGTGGTTCGAAGTACATTTCCGGCTGTTCTTAGGGTCCAATCCAGTAATAGGAATCCGATACTTTCGTTTGGCATGGAGCATTCCGGATGAAATCGTGTACAGGTCTTCGGTTACATGGCCTGGACCTCCCAAGCAACCATCATTGTTGAAACGTGCGTAAGGGGATTGGGGGGTGGGGCTTCACGCATGCATACAGACAGGCAGACCGCGTGCACACTCATGCATTTATATTTGTGTGATTTAGCGCATTGTGCGGGAGTTTAGGCGTTTATCCGTATGTCCGCCTCCCTCTATTTCTGTTTTACTTGTGTACTGTATGGTTTTCAACACACGACATTGCACCCTTCTCCCTCTGTGTAAAGCCTCAGAGTCAGATGCCAGGCTCGGGGGATACCTATAGCTCGCCTCGGAATGGAGGTCAGCAGTAATTATGGCATTGGGGTTTAGGGTTGAGGGTCTGGGGTTTTGGGGTGTAGTGTCTAGGGTTTAAGGTTTATAGGGAGGAAGGATTCTTGGATTCCTGCATAGCCCTGTTCCAGAAAGGCTACAGGTAACTGTTACCTTTGGATGAGTTTGGATCTTCAATCCGAGCTTGGCGACTTAGGATTTCGATCGAGGGCTTAGTGCTGAGAGACATTTCAGGCGGTAGAGTCACGGTAGAGATACGCTTGCCTTAGATATCCCTGGGCCTACACGCATTTGGCTCCAGGGGGAACTTGGTGGTTTCAGGGTCCAGGCCGATACCTTCGCGGCCCTGAGCTGAACAAAAAGGTTTTTGTCCTCAATCGGATCCAAACTACACCTTCAACCCTACACCCGAGATTCGGAAGCCTAAATCCTAACTCCTAGTCCCTGTATATACCCACTTTGGGACCCTAAATGACCTGCGCCTCATACTATGGGATTTGGCCCCCAAAGCCTTAAAGTGTCGCCTTCTAGCCTCAGGGTAGGCCATAGCTGCGGCACTGAAGCTGATCCAGGGATGTGCTTTGTTTTAGGGTTTAAAAAAGGCTGCAGGGTTAAAGGTGCAGGGTTTATAGGGTAGGATTGGGTTGACCATCTCTTCCGTAAGAGGAGCTGACGGAAAAATGCTTCTGGACACATTTCATGCTGACAACGGCGAAAAGCTTCTATAACGCATGTGTATACACACACTCACGCACACGTACATTTGTTTGCAGAAAGTGTGCAGATACATGTAGAATTGGGTAGTTTGCCGAGAGGTCACAAGCATGGGTTACCGAGAACGGTAATACAAGTTCCCAGCAGATGTGTCCTGTTTTGAGAACCGTTCGTGCACCCAAACTTATCACACGTATGATGCACGGCATTGCGAAATTTCCTATAGCGGGGCGCACGGTTGCATGGTACTTCACGCGCGTGCATCCTTTTGCAAGCGTCCATCGCAGCTGTTTGTTCGAGACAAGGAAGGAAAGGCACATAGACTCCACGCAGACGGCAGGATTGGTCAATACCTTGGTTTTTGGTTTACCTGAAAACATATGAAGCCTTGACACCCTCCAGCTCTAAGCGTACTATCATCTACTATCTCAAACGAGCTTTTGATTGAATTTTACGCCTACCCGACAGACTGGACAGAGTCTTCTGCAGAGCGCAGTCGAAAGTGGAATCAGATGTCATTTTGGATGTGCTTGCAGCACCGGCAGCACTGGCAATCAGCAAACCCCATCCAGACCCCATCATGCACTGTGCGCCTTCGTGGATTTCCAGCCCCTCTCAATGGGGATAACAGGGGCAAGCGGATGAGACAGACTCTAGCTGCATGTCTGCCAACCGATGGCGACGACGCTGGAGGAGTTGGGTGACGCAAAGGGAGTAGGAGGATCGTGCAGACTTTGCCGGATTCGGGCTGCTGTTGGGCATAGTGGTTACAAACAGCATCAACGCGGGAAGCTGTTGTAAGCAGACAGGGAGGTCGCGTCACAATGTGCCCGAAGGAGTTTTGCGATCCGGCCGCTGCGCCAGGCTGGTCAGAATTGTCATCCTTCAACCCTAAACCCTAAACCCTAAACCCGCTCATTCAAAGGCAAGCTCGTAGTGCAGCCTTGCCGTAAGATTACTATGGTTTCAGGCCTCCGAGCCTGCGCACAACAGACCTACCCACTGAATAGTGCAAGTAGCCTTATACAGTAAAGAAACACATGTGAAGATAGGACAGACAACAGGGAACACATCAGAGAGACTATGCCATGTGTTACTTAATCCTATTTATCATTGCGGTTTTGTTGTTCGCACTGATAGATCAGTCAAGATGTTTTGCGATGTTCTGTTGAGCTGGTTCACCCCCTATATCTTGTTTTGCTCTTATCTAAACTTATATTGATATGTTGAAACCGTTTTGACGTGGACGCAGCTACGGGTTCGTCGCTGTTCCGAGAGTCGGAGGAAGCAGGCTCATTCCTCCAGCTTGCTAGAGGGTGTAGGATTTAGACTTAAGGGTTTCAGGTTTAGAGTTAAGGGTTTTGGATTTAGAGTTAAGGGTTTCGGGTTTAAGGGGTGTCCCCCTGAATTAAAAGACTTCAGAGCTTGTTCATGGTCCAGTCCTCAGTCTACAAGAAGCCTAGGGCGCTCTTTCGAGGGGAAGCCCAGGCGAACCCTCGTAAGCCTGAGGATGTTCATGACACTGTCTTAGAGTCTTCTTCAAAGAGAGACCTATGTGCTTCAAAGAGAGACCTATGCTCTGTCCCCTCAGCTTCAACATCGAGAATACACCAGAAGCCTACCTTGAAGCCTTTCGGGCTTGCGGTTCGGCGTATCCTTCCAGGGCAGCGCTACACATTCCGCTTCCTTACCTTCAACTTGGCCAACAGAGACCTGGATGAAATTGTCAAGGTAGGATGCAGCAGATGGCCCATTGAGATTTCCGCTTGCTTCAGTGTTCTTCACTGCACATTGAATCGAACGGTTGTACGCGAACTTCTGTTTGCCACCCGAACGGCAACAAGGGCCCACGGATATGCACAATTGGTGCAGGGTACCCAATGTTTGGTATTTAGGGGTGTAGGCTTCAGGGCGTATGGTTTATAGGCTTCAGCATATGTGGCTTAAGATTTTTGGTGATGAGATTAAAGAGTGCCCTAAATAACCTGCAACAGAAGCCTTCGTTGCTGAACCCTAAACCCCATTTAGGCTTTTGGGTTCGTTGGGGCGTTCGGGCTTTCAGAGCTTGCAGTTGGGCTTTGGAAGTGTGGAGAGAGGGTTTAGACTACTGCGGGCTTGGGACCTCGATCGTCCGCTTCGTGGTTGTTTGGGTAGGTTATTTGGATCCTAATCATAACCCTTATAACCCGCCAGGTACCTACTATGTAGGGTACTAGAACCCCTAGGGCCCTACATAGTAGGTACCTGGTGGGTTAGGGTAAAGGCAAGTCAACGAACAAAGTGGGGCCTGCAGTCTCAAGATTGGAGAGGGGCTTTTTGGATGCTACATCACTTCTCCGGGCTAGGGGCCAGCCCTGACGGGGAGAAATGCTAAGATTTAGCTCTTGTAGTTCCCATCACAACATACTAAAACCATTTTGAGCTCATCGCGCCTCTAACTTACAAATGATTATACTCATGCCCCTACGGTGAAGTGGAGGGTGTTCCAACACTATTCATCCTAAATCCATGGTCCAACGTTTTGGCGTTCACGGCAAGTTAGCGTGACTGTAGGGCTTAAAATTGCAGCCCGAGTTTGGAACTCTGGATCGTGGAAGGCTGCTGGCAATGAAGGCAGCGAGTTCGTATCAGCCGAAAACCCTGCCAACAACGGAAATCCGAACAGGAACGAAGCCTTGACTCCTGACAGGAGGACTCCTCATGTGTATATTTTTGTTTATATATACATATATACATATATATATATATATATGTGTAATGTAGCTCTTAAGATGCCAGATCAACCTTAGTAATGCGGCTCAGCTTGAGAAAGCTACCCTCAGACCCCAGCACCCCGCCGTGGGCCTGGTAAGGCCAGCAGCTTGAGTCTTCGCATGCACTGCAAGGCTGTTCGGCTCAGGGGGGGTACTGTATCTCATTCGGATTTTAGTGTGTGTGTGTGTGTGTAATTTCCTGTCTCTGTGCTCTTCAAGACTGCTTGCAAAGCCTGTCGGGTAACTTGTGCCGGGTCAAGTATTCATGCCGAGCTGCATAGAACGTGGTGGTGCTGCTGTTGTTATCGTTGTTGTTGCTGCAGTTGTTGTTAGTTTGAGTGTTGTCGCTGGCTTCCGTGGATGAAGGTATTTTTGGCACGTGTAGAGGTGCCGCTATTGTCGTCCTACTCATGTTCAGGTGCGCGCCGTCTCTCTATACCACGGAAGGAAGCACCCACACCAAAAATGAACCGCGGAACCGTTGAATGTTAGGGGTCTTCCAGGTGCTCTGACACTCTATAACCCTAAAACCTGAACCCTAAACC